TATTATTATTATTATTATTATTATTATTATTATTATTATTATTATTATTACCTGCCAAAACCAGATTTAATGCTATTGCTGCTGCTCTAGAGGCTGCATCAGTGGAAGACAATCCAAATAGAATGATACATGGGAATGACTTTCAGATACAGGTAGAATTCCTACAGACTAGAAAAGGATCAGGCAAGTGGCAGTTGAGCCCACAGAAGGAATGTGATTCTATTAATGTAACCTTACAATAATGTTGGGAGTGGTATTTCTCTGTGTACTTATTGTCTGGAGTACCTCACAAGACTGAAAATATGACCCTGGTAATTATAAATTTGTGTACATAAACAAATATTAAACATCAGATAATTATTGATTATGATGACAGGGAAATAATATTTAGGAGTTTTTACCTATGGAACTGCTATTTTTCCAATGCATTTTTGGTCCCCATTCACTTGGATAAGAAGATCTACTGCATATGAATCTCACCCTAAACTGGAAGGAATAGCACTTCACTGGATCCAAACCTTGTATTTCAAACTTGCCGCTTTCATTTTTCCTAAACTGAATGGCAAGAGTGGCAGTCATTATTAATTTTGTTCACTGTATACATTTCATCTTCCAGCTTATCTTAGTAAATATAGGAAAAGATTATATAGTAAAGACTTTTGAAATGCACAGACCTATTAGAAAGATTCACTCTTTGTGTCAGATACCAGTAAAAGGTTAAATTCTTTATCTGTCTCATTTATAATTCAATCACTTGCACCACAATTCAGAAAATAAGGGAATCATAGACCATAAAACAATTAAGCACAAATCATTTTTTTTTAGTTTCCCTCTTTCTATTTTTATATTAGCAATTAAGAAGAAATATGTGAGTGACAATTTGCAAGCCTATGTTTTTTTATGAACACTGTAATCACCAAAAAATAATAATTATGAGATTAATCACATTAGTATGAAACCTCATAGAATCTTGGAACTGGAAAACACCAGGTAATCAACTCACATGCTCTAATCAATATAGCAATCTAGTAAGCCATCCCTGACAAGTGTCATCCAATCATTTGAATTCCAATCCATTTGAAATTCTTCAGAAAAGTGAATGTCCACCAGGGTTCTAGGCAAACTGTTCTGCTTCTACAGAACCTTTACCATCTCAAAATTCCTCCTAATGTTCAGCCTTAATGCATCTTTCCATTTCATTTCAATATGTTGCTCCACATCCCATTCTCCATTTTAACAGAGAACAGTTCCATAGCTGTTGTATATGACAGACTTTTAAATATAAGTTAACTGCTTTTCAACATTTCCATCCCTTCGCCTTTGAATCCATGTTACAAAAAATTCCATCACACACATACCCAATCTTCATCAAATTCACTTTTGTACTGATATTCCAATATAAAACAATGTAGAGCGAAAGGTGGCCTATGTTCTATGATCACTTTGTCATGTTTCCAGAGGAAGGTTACATTTTGAGGAGATTTGGGCTTCACTGGGAAAGATGAAAATAAATTAGTACAGATTGAAATTTTTCTAGATACACATACATTTGCTTTACATTTTTTAATGTTTATTACATTGCAAGAACCAAATGTTTAATAATTTTTGTAAAAGTCCCTTTTTCTAATAATTAACATTTTTATGTACAGGAATTATAATAATCTTTTAAATATGTAAGGCACCAGGTTTTACTATAAAATTTAAAAATCCAGAATGTTGCAGGTGATCTGATAGGGCAGTACTTTGTCTACAGGGAATAAAAGGTAGGAGCAAAAGTAGGCTAATAATATTTGCAGCTCATTAACTTTTTAAAATTGATGACTTCTATGTGGTTATATGCTCTTGGTTATGTTTAAAAATTCTTTTTTTAGGATGTCGTAATGCTGAAGCAGAATGTTATAAAGCTGCTGAAAAATTACTATTTTCTCGGGTATTGAAAGGAAATATATAATGAAGAAAACACATTTTATTATCTGTAAGGCATGGATGGGTAGCAGATTAAATTGAGTGGTGTCTAAAGGAAGTCAAGGAAAATATTCATTATTAGATTTCTCTCCCAATTTTTCCTTCAAAATTGAATTTCAGGTGGCTGGTAATTCTTTCTTCCCATTTTGTCTCACTTAGGAATATATTTCTACAGTCAAGAATTAAACTTGAATTTTCTTCATCTAGTTCATGATTCAAGAGCCCTACATTCTTAGGAATTTGAGCTGCTTCAGTGGGTTTCAGCCCTTGAAAACTTTAGCCACTGAGAAAATATATTATTCAGATTTCAGTTTTCCTTCTTGTTGAAAGGACAGATCTCGCAATTTCTCAGGTCAGGTTTATCATTTCTGGCAGTACTTTGCAAGACAGTTCAGTCATAAGAATAGATGTATTCTCTCTCTATTAAATATGTAATCTGCATCTTGTGGTAGAAAATTCAGCACTCTTTTCAAGATGAAGAGAAGAACTGAAATGACACAAGTATTAGAGTCTCCAATCTTCCTGGAGTCTAAAAACAAAATATTCTAGGCTGATCCCAGGTACCGTATTTATCGGCGTATAACACGCACTTTTTCCCCCCTGAAAATAGGGGGCAAATGATGTATGCGTGTTATACGCCGATATAATGTTAAGAAGCCTTCGGTGAATGCTGCTGGGATCGGGGATCAAGGACACAAATGAAAGAAGGGGAGGGAGGAAGCAACCGAAGCCTGTCCTTCTCTCTGGGTCAGCTCTCTCAGTCGCTCTCTCGCTCCTCCACCAGCACAGGAAGAAACTGCTTCAAAGAAGCGGGGGGGGGGCTTTTCCTGTCGCCTCTCCCCCACCCCCACCCCGTCCGCCCGCCCGCCCGCCCGCAGTGCTCCGTTCTGCCTGCCTGCCTGCCTTCGTTAATGGTTGAATCGGAACAGCTTCGGCTGAGTAAAAGAGGCGAATAGTTATTATTCTCAGCCGAAGCTGCTCCCAAACAACCAGAAACTAAGGCAGGCAGGCAGAATTTTTTTAAATTTTTTTTCCTGAAATTTCCCCCTTAAAATGAAGATGCGTGTTATACGCCTGTGCGTGTTATACGCCGATAAATACGGTACATTTGAGAGAAAACCCAGCTGAAGCCCTACAAAGCTGCTAATAGTGAGGTGGAGCAATGTCTAACTTGGAATAAGACAGCTTCCTGTGGCTCTATTTTAGAATAGAGAGCTATTTTCTCAACAAAAATGCCAAATCAGCACATTTATGGCAAAGGTTGTTTAAAAAAATAGTATATCTGGATATTACATACTTAATTCTTTAGAGTAGGAGTCCCCAAACCCCAGCCTCTACTGGTCTGCTGCCCATTGGGAACTGGGCCACGCAAGTGGCAGTAAAGCACACAATTTGTGTATATGAGGGATTAGGTTGAACACACAAAATCATTGCTCTCTCCCACCCACCCCCACCACTGCTCAGCACCACACCGCCTGTCAGAAAGGTTCGGGACCGCTGCTTTAGAGAGAGAAAAAGTGATTTTAATGAATTTTCTCACAGTTCCTCAAATTCATTAAAACAAGAACTCATTAAAATCTCAATCAATTGAAATCTCCAACTCAGTGAAGACCTGGAATAAATCCAGCAATTAAGTCTCATTCTTATGTTTTTCCAATGAAATATGATATCAAATTATAAATGCTACTATTCATACAATTGCAATTATATCAAATGCCAAGTACTCCAAAATTATATTTAAGGTCACTTGAGTAGATTTCTAATAGAAAAAAAATATATAGACTTACAGAATTTTATGCTCGATAGTTTAAAATCCTGGTAAAATTCCTTTGTCCCATTTGTATCTCTGATAGAAATATCAAATTCACGTCCTTCAATTTTAAAAATACAACCAACTACGTATCCATGATCATAGACATAGTGGACACACTTTTTCCAATTCTGTTCATCAAATCTAAAGTTGAAACAACAATATTAAAAAGTGATATGACTGCAGCTTAAGTGTGACCACAGGAAAGAGGTCCTGGCTGGCCTCTGGTATCATACAAAATTATCTTTTGAGAATCACAGAAATGAATATTTTTTAGAATATTCCTGTTTTGAAAATACTCTGTTTCCTATCTGACAAAATATTCCTATTATTTTGCAGCAAATGTTGATTGCTTTATTGTCCCAGGAACAAACTTTAGAAATCCCATGCCATCTGAAAGAATTGGCTTTTTCCCACCCTGAAAAGATTTTCTAAATAAAAGTTATGTGTGTTTTTGTAAGCCAAGATTTTGTAGCCCAGATAATTTTGGCAGGTTTTGTAGGCCAAGTAAAGAATACTAAGCAATTCACTGAGAATTTGCATAGGTGTGTTTCTCTCTCTCTCTCTCTCTCTCTCCCCGTCCCTCCCTCCCTCCTCTCTCCCTCTCCATGTGTGTGTGTGTATGTGTGTGTGTAGGTGTGGCATATTCATTCCTTCTATTAAAAGAATATTTACTATTAAAATCTTTGTTCAGTTTGGTATGCTCAAATCATATAAAAATCAGCAATTTAATCAATATAAATTCAGTTTCTACAGTGAAATAATATAGATTCAACAATATAACTTGCAAAAAATAAAGGCAACTCCTAATGCTATTGTCAGCCTTTTTGCAATATGCAAAACGCAATGCAAACTGACTTAAATATTTGAGAAGGATGGACTTCTTAGATTCACAAAAGTCTCCATCTGTTTTCTAAAAAAATAGCAGCAAAACATAAAGGGAGACAGAGTGGTATTAAAGTGTTCTGCAGATATTCTTATTGTTACAGCTGGCACTGTTAATTTTCTCTTCCAGTGAAATCCTTACTGCTCAGCAGCACCATATAAGCATGTTTCAGAGGTTACATTTGAATGTGGTAACCTTTTGAACCACATTCTGCATGACGTATAATGTCTCCAGTATAGTGGGGAAAACCCACACAACCACATGACTGCAATCACACAGATTCCTTTTAGTGCACACCATTCTTATACCAAATTGCTAATGTTTATCCTTCGAATAAGATCCTGCAGAGAGGAATGGAAAAGGAAAACAAAAATCGAGTATTGTGTTTCCAACTGTCAGGGAAGTTTACATATCTGCAGTACAATAAATACGTGAAGGCAAAATCAGTGGGGATAACAGTTACTTTGTCTGTTTTCTAAGGCAACAAGAATTCAGCAGTAATGAGCTTTTCAATTTAAGTACAAAAACAATACATAAAGTACAACTACAGGGATGTCCAAACTTGTCAATACAGTGATGGCTTTGACTCTGTAAATGATGTCCTCAAGCCATCTCAATATATTTTGACCTGCATTTCTCTCGATACCTTGTGCAAAACCAATGCAATAATTAGGTTGTGTTAAAGATATAATAATGGCCACAGTAGATAAACTTGATCATTTTTTCACTGCCTCTCTCAGCAGCATTTACAGTTTCCTTAACTTAATCTAAATAAGTCTGTACTTTCATTCCTCCAATTGAATACTGTAGAGGTATTCCTCAACTTACAACCACAATTGAGCCCGGAATTTCTGTTGCTAAGCAAAGTGGTTGTTAAGTTGCACCTGATTTTATGTGGGGTTTTTTTTTGCCAAGGATATTAAGCAAATCAATACAGTTGGTATGTGAATCATGGGGTTGTTAAGTGAATTGAGTTTTTCCCATTGATTTTGTTTGTTAGAAGTTGACTGAGAAGGTCTCAAATGACAATCACATCATCCCACGATACTGCAATGGTCATAATACAAAATGGGTGCTCAAGTTTTGATCAAATAACCATGGAAACGCTGTGAAAGTTGTAAATACAAAGACCACTTGTAAGCCACTTTTTCATTGCTGTTGTAACTTTAAATTATTGCTAAATGAGTGGTTGTAAGTCAAGGACTATCTGTATGCAAGTCTTCATTTTTTCCTCACAAGATGGGTGTTTGTAAGCTGCAACTCAAGGTGCTCCATTTGTAGCATTTTCTTCCAGCATCTATTTGCCCAACATTGGTACAAAATATTGCACTCTTGCTAGATTGTAGGTTAGTTTTACAAAAAGATATTTTCAGATAGTTCTGAACAGAGTGTTAGAATTGTGCATTAAAGAAGATCCAGTGAGCTCAAAAGTATTGGTCTCCTCATACTTAGGTTTTAGGTTAGTGGAGGTGCAAAAAATATAGAATGTTTAGCCAATGAGATAAAAATTGTATCTGGACTTTTTTCAAACTAGAATTAGAAGTCAGATTGGTATTCACCAATTAGAATCACCATTCTGAGAGTATTTTTTTAAAATCACATTTCTTTATTTATTCCGTTCAAGTCTATATCAAGGTCAGCCTTCTGTGGTCCTAGCCCAAAATTATGGCACTGAAATTCAATTAATGATGTATCTGTTGCTTAGTTTTTTGTTTTAGGTAAAATGTACAGTAAATCCCTGATAATCCCATCATATCAATGTCATTGTTTAAAAGCTCTCAAGGATTTAAAAGAATGAAAAAGGGAGGCCTAGTAGTAAAAAATATTATTCTAGACAAAACAAAATGAGGAATGAGGAAAAATGATGAAGAATACCACAATTTGCATTGTTTGTAAAACCCTAACTTATTCAAAGAAATCTCTAGCATTAAAACTTAATAGTTCGAAGAAAGTCAAATTTGTTTTCTTAAGTTTTCGCGGGTACTTACATGTATGGTATTCAGCTTTGTTCGGGTATTTTCCCACGTCATTATAGTTGTGCTTTTAAAGTTGTAGCTACAACTTTAAAAGCACAACTATAATGACGTGGGAAAATACCCGAACAAGGCTGAATACCAAAGTCAAATTTATTTATTTGTTATTAAATTTGTATGCCTCTCGTCTCACTGAGTATAGTCTTTCAATAATACTCACCTATAAAACACCGTAAAGTTCCCACCAGTAAACATTTCTATAGGATCCCATGAGATCTTCATCTGCTCATTATGGATATTTTGTATTATATAATTTATGCATAATTTGTCTTCATTGTTGATCATAATAAAAAATAAAACATGACATTTGTGTAATAAAAACTGTCTGAAGATTTTGCTTAGAAAGTCTCTTTCATGACCTGCTTCAATATGAAACATTTGTGTACTTTTAGAACTCAGCATTTACTAACATGAAGAGCCAAAATGTAAGGTCAGGCTACAAAAAGTTGTTTATGGATTCAACTAAATTTGCAAATCATCTTTCAAACCACAGGTCTTATGTCATCTAACAATAGTATAACCAAGAAACTTTGAACAAGGTCTATAAGACAGCACGAAAAAGATTGTGATTGGAAAATAATTAAGAAATTAAGAATGGGGAATTCTGGGAGTTGAAATCCGCACATTTTAAAATGGCTGAGATTGAGAAACACTGATTTACACTGATCATTTGTTTGCAGTAAATGAACACATATAATTCACAAGAAGTTGTTCGCAAAAGTGTCTCTCCTCCTTCTGCAGCCACTAGTGCTACCCTAATTTTTTACTAAAGAGTTAAAAAGAGATAGGGTAAAAAAGTGTTGTTGTTTAAACTGACTTTAATTATGCATCTATTTGTCTCAGACAGTTTACCTGTTCTCCATCAACTTCACTTCTCATTCTACATTATTTAGTTCTCACTGGAAGATAGTTGGGTAACTTTGTATTTCTAGGATTCAAGGTAAGGTTGTTATAATTTCTATTTGTGCCAATGTGTATGTTTAATTTATTCTCAGTTATGATGTATAATCATATATAAAAAGATTCTCATAAATTCCACCATGGAATCCTTGATGCTCTCCAAACTTGCCTATTCTACCATGTACTTTTAAAAAAGAAACTTTTACAGAGTAATGATTTAACAGAGATTTAACTTGGAGAAGAAGAAAAAAGAGAATAGTGAAAAATAAAATTTAAAGTAATAAGATAAGAAAGAAAGAAAAAAGAAAAGAAAAAGATACTAAAAAGCAGATTTAAATCTTCTATATAGCAGTTATAAATACATTTATCTTGTATAGACCTTTGTTATCCTTCAAACTAACCATGTTTGTGAGTGGAGTTGATTTATTCCTGATCTATTGAAGCAGATGTGGCATTCAGCAGGTTCTGATCAGTTCACAAATATCACCTCTAACTGGACCCGCCCCCATCTATTCTCCCAAGTCCCAGCTGATCGGCTGGGTCTTCTTTTGTTGCCCTACACAGGAGAACAGAGCTGGAAAGCAGGTTAGTGGGGTGGGGAGGGGAGGGGATTTTGCAGTATCCTTCCCCTGCCATGCCCACCAAGCCATGCCCATAGAACCGGTAGTAAAAAATTTTGAATCCCACCACTGAAGACATAGTTGAGAACACAATACAGTCTTTTTATCTGTGGAACTTTTGTATAGCTATATTTTCCATTTGTTTTACTATGCCTCCTTATTTATTTGTTCAATTTCTATGGCCACCTATCTCAGTCAATGACACTAGGCGGCTTATAGTTCCTAAAATATACTACAATTCAAAATTTAAAAAAAAACATTTTAAAAGAATAAAAAGATTAAAAACATCCCATTCAAGCTACACAATAGCAAAATATTTGACCTATTAGCAATATAGCTAGGAAATAGGTCCATTGTCATATTCAGTGCCCTAGGCTTGAAAATATAGCCAGGCTCTTAAGGCCTTACAAAAGGCTAACAGGCTTGGGGACAGAAAGGAGGATGATCGTTAGAGCAGTGGCCACTGCAGAAAAATTTTGCTTCTGGCTTCCAGCAGCTGGCATCTTTGGCTGACAAGATCTGCAATATGCCCTTTCTGCTTAACCTAGTTGGATGGATAGAGACTCATGGAAAAGGCAATGACTCAGGTACCGGGTCCCAAGCCATATAGGGCTTTATAGCTAACTACCAGTACATTGAAGTGGACCCAGAAAGGCCTCTTACCTAGTGCAGATGGAAGAACCTTGTCTAGGGTTCCTTGATTTCAGTTTTTTTTTTTTTTTGAAGGAGAAAAGTACCTTGACATGTTTCAGGTCCATTTCATACAAACTGATCAGAATTTTTCTGCATTTGGTCAAACCATATAACATGGCTTGAGTGGCTTAGTTCTTATTTACAGTTTTCTGAGATCAAATAGTTGAAGACAATTGTAAGTAATCTCCAGAGTGCTTTCTGTCAGTCTCCTCCACTTTCCAAATACAATCAGAAGAAGGCAGCAAAATAAATTCCAAATCAATCTGAAATTAAGATAAAATATCCTCTTCCTTGGGACAAAGCATTTGGGAAGTCAGAAAAAAGATTTTTATGCAGTATAATGCAAAACTGAAAAGACTGTGAGAACATATTTGTATATGAATTTTGGTGTTGAAGAAGGGTCCTGAGAATATTGTAGATGGCCAGGAAAATAAACCAATGAATCGTCCAACAAATAAACCAGAGTTCTCACTTGGGGCACAACTAACCAATATCAAATTATCTTACTCCAGACACATTATGCAAAAACCCAGCTTTCTAGAAACATTTCTAATGCTAGGAAGGGGAAAAGAAAGAGAACAAGATAACAAACAGCAAGGTGAATGGACTCAATCACAATAGAGATGAATGCATAGTTGGAAGAGACAGTCTGTCAGGAAGAAAATCTATCTATGTGATCCTTAGGAGTCAAAGATGACAATGGCAGATAATGAATCAATCAATATTTTAAATGCTACCTGTTCCTTCTGAGAAGTCTTCCTCATCAGGTGGACATAAATCTTCAAAAGAAATAAGTAAGAGTGATTGAAAAAGAAAAATCCTATGCAACTTCCATATAAATGTCCAAACACAGCCTACAGTAATAGATTGTTCTTCCTGTTTATAATAATTTGTGCTTTGTAAAATGGATTTTATAATATGATATCAAGACAATGTTTAAACATCTTAAGATATTCCAGGAAATCAATGATACCAGTCATTACAATTTTATATCTGTCTTTTAATTATAAGCAATGCATTAATCCAAACTTGATCATAGCACAGTAGATTGACTGAATTAATGTACTAATTTAAATCCCATTGGTTTTAACAGGTTTATTATGCATAAAGACAAAAATGTGTATTTATTTTTAATTAACTTACAGGCTGTCATAATTATTAAGTGTATAACAATATAATAGATACAAATTAACACTAACACTGGGCGATAACACTAAAATATTAATAATCCATTTTTGACAGATAACAGACAAGTGTATGCAATCTGTGAAAGATAAGTCAGCCAAAATTCAAATCAATATATAATATGAATAATAAATTATCCTGCCACAAAACCTGCTGAAAAATAAACATTATTAAAAATAACAAAATGAATAAATTAAATGACAAAATAAATAAAATGCAAACAAAATTATATTGGAATTAAATTGCTCTAGTAAAACTTCATTACTATTACTCAAAACGCTTTAAAATTATATCTTCTTTATGTATTATCACTGTCCAAAAAGAAGATAGAAGTTTCGTGAAAATGGACTTTACCATGACTCCAAAAGGTCAGAGGATAAAACCTCTGATCCTGGTGACCGACCCAAATTGGATGCTGTCCAAAAAGTTGTTGCATAGTATAGTCTGTATTGTTGCTCATTTTATCTAGCTTATGCTAAACATTAGAATATTTATATGTATTATTTACCTTGAAACCTAAATGAAGTTATGTTAAATATCATTTTTTGTACATAAACAATCTAAAATCATTGTACATCAACATTAAAGTAGCCTGGAAAACAGTGTAATATTGAAGATTGATTTAGCTCTGACTTTTATCTCAGTTCTTGTATATAGTTTAAAAAGAAAAATCATCATTTGTGCATGTGTTTAAATTGCAACTTACTTTGTGCCCATAACTTGGAAATTAGCAAGTAGATCCAAAGTAGTACAGCAACATAATTTTGAATAGTCCATCCCATAATGTTAATTGAATCTATAATCAAATTTCATCCGTGTAAATTGCAGCAATACTTCTCTACAACTATTTTTTGCTCGGTATCTTTATATCAATAAAATTAGAGGAAATGACTATAGGAAATCATTGTAATAATTGTGGTATGAAGTTCTTAAAAGAATGGTGCACTTCATCTTCTGTTATAGAGAGTGATAAAGGGCTTCAAACATAATTTTTCAAAACCAGAATCCCTATCTTTGTCAATTCAGAGTTGGTTGGCACTAAGGTGAACAGACATCTAAAAGGCTTCTTTGGGCTACTGCTGTTGGACAAATCGTAAGTTCTTGCCTCACTTTTGCTGTTCATTTCACATTTAAAACTGAGATTGTACAAGCTTAAGAGTTCTATCACATTTTAAATGTTATAGAAATAGAGGTCTGTAATGGAGTTTACACTAAGCTTGAATCATCCTTGCAGAACATCTACTTTTGTTAATGATAAACATTGCCTTGTGCTTACCCTGAGGTGTCTTCAACTTTTAAACTTTGGCCATTTTTATCAAGCTGTTTTTAGATTTAACATAATCAGTTAAATTACAGGTGCAAAGTTTCAATTCTAATAGCTAAGTCGATATCTCTTTTACTGTATAAGCAAAAAAATGTTTAATCCCATAATAAACGAATCTGTTTTGTGGTTCAACTTAAAAAACACCAGCAAGCACTTCTGTTTCTTAGATCTTACCATATCTTCCCCAGAAATCAATGCAAAACAGGCTATTATGTACAGCAAATTGAAAAGAAACCTTTCACAATGTGTAATTTTAAGTATAGGTAGGTATGCTCTGGATGAAAAATCTTTCTGATGCAAACTTATCTCAAAGTCTCTATGCTTATCATTCATCAGATAACTTTAACTTTATATGGTTATTTACCTATTATTCAAATTTATTAAAACAGAGTAGTCTCATATCTATAAAAATGAAAAAAAGGTATCACTACTCCCTTCTCAAGACATATTAGAAATAAGATTACTTATATTAGTTTAGCTATGTTATTTCTAAAACAAAT